AAGTTGCATGTTACGACTTTTTTCACTTTACAAAGCGCAGGCTATTTTAATCATTGTGATCAATTTGCGCCGTCAATCCCGGCGCATGCGCGCTTCATTTACAGTCTGGACGCTGAGGGTAAACATCCTGCGGCTCTGACTGCAGCGCTGAGAGGGACTCCTGCGGGAGCGGGAAAACGGGGTTGGGATGGGAGAGGCGCCCCACGGCAATGACGACGGCGGCGGATGACGCATAAATCGCGCGACACAACTAATCGATGATGAAATTCGTTGCCAACGCTTTTAAAAGTCGATTTTTATCGATTTTATCGATTCGTTGTTGCAGCCCTAGTAATGACAATAAAAGGCTGTGAAAAAATTTTTCTTTTTCTTTAAAAATAAAAACTAAATGGCGAAACAAAATCTAGCAACCATTTCCTGTCTTGTTGGAGACTTCATTGACAACATGAAAGCTTCGATCTTTGAGTTCAGAATCTTCAATAAGCAGTGCATGAGCACTGTTCGTCTGCAAGGAAACTCCCCTATGCCTGAGAAAAGCTTTCATAAGAAAGTTGAAGTTTGTTTCAAGTTAATTAATGGAAAATATTTTCATTCACATGCTAAGACAATCACCTCTAAAAGTACACATTACCTGTCAGAAGCACAGCATGAGAAGTTCTCAAAAAGATAACAGTTATGAGCAAGACGCAAATCATTTCTTCACCTTTACCCTCTCTGGTGAGGAATATGCATTGTCAGGCTCAGCTTGAACTCCTTAATCTGTAGTCCGATACTGTCAAAACATTATAATCCACATCCCCACAGATGACAAATGACACAAAGAATAGCTCGTCTGTAAAGATGAAGTCAACGGAGTTAAAATACTTGCGCCACACCTGTCAGAGGTGTGGTCACGCTGATACAGAAGTGAAGAATTTCACAATGTGTGTAAGAGTTGAAGGAAAGCACTATAAACAGAGAAAATTAGCAGATACTGTGTAACCTTGCTCCAAGAGGAAATTAGTAAGTACGATTCCCAAGATCTCCTCAGGTCTACCTATATCTGAGAACACCCAATGTTGCATTTATCAAAACCAGATATGAATACTCTGTGACATGGTAGTCTTCACATTTCCACCTCAGATATTTAGCTTGACTTTAGTGCATTAGTTCCATACCAAAACACAATAGATTCTGTCTGAACACTAAGAGAACTGGGATCAGCCAATTTAACACTACTAGGGGCATCGCATTCATTAAAAAGTTTTTAATGCAAAAGTTAATGTGACATTGATCTTTGAAAACTAGTTAAAAGCCAATGATGCAGTTTTATAAATGCTTCAAAAATGCATTTGGCTATTGAAAGCTTCAGCATTGATCTCAAAAAGTCTGGAAGTTTTGCTGAAGAAAAAATATGCCTAGTTTGAAGTCAAACCAAGTGCAGAGTAAATGAAGGATAGAGCAGAACAGACACCAGAGGCTCCATCACTGTGCATCTGTCAGGGCAGCCATGCAGAAGCATATTGGTTAGTTTGTTTGTTGATTGCATTGCTAACCTGAAAATTATGAACATATCTAAAGAAAATCTTTACCAGAGGTATGTCTAACACTAAGGAACAATTTATTAAAATTTGGTAATGATCCCGATCATCTGTGAGTTTTCACTATAGGTGAAAATCACAGTATGGGGCAAAACTTAACAGAGTGCAGGGCTTTTCTAGTTTTTAATAATTTTAAAATGTGGAAAGAGTTTATCAACTTACCAAAGACAACTCGTTACAAATGGCGAAAATCTTTTTGGTAAAATCTTTGTCCCACTACATAAAAGAAAAAAAAAATTAGAGAAAATCCACAGAAATAAATGTTTACTAATTATTTTGTTTCCCATTTCAGAATAAATATATACAAGATATCCTGCCCTCTTCGTTTTCTACTAAAACATAATGTTAATTGGCTAATAAATAAAACTCCTCCTTTAACCGTGTTAATCTTTTACAGGAACTCATGATAATATCCAGGTTTTGCCTGTCAAAACCTGGATATTATCATGTCAGACAGAATATTATTATGTCAGACAGAATAAATTTAGAAGGACTGAAAAAAGAAAAATGTCCAGTCTTTTATTGAGCAGATAGGCGATGATCAGACTTACACTTCCAACTTCCAGGTTCAAAAGGATTTTTTCAACCACTTGTATCTTGTGTAGGTTATTCAAATGAAGCCTTCCACTTTTCCTACAAAAAAAGAACAGGAGTTCAGCACCTTGAGATGACGCCAGGTGGTCTTATTTTCAGAAATCGAAGCATGGCTTACTTGCTGTTGATTAAACCAACTGCTACAGCCCAGTCGCAGGTTCTGGAATTATCTGGCTGCAGCAGAGAGGGAAACCAAAACACACAGACTCTCATTCGCTGTGCACCTTCTATCTTGGAGGTAAGCGGTATGGCGCACCACTGCTGAAAACCCCTCTCTGAAACAACAGAAGAAGATCATCATGATATTTGATTCAATCCACGCTCTAAGATATCACCATTTTATTTTCCTTTCATATATATATCACTTAAAAATTATTTCCTGATTAAATACTTAAGATGCTTCTACATCCTCAAAATACTGCTAATACAATCTGTGGACTGGGAAAAAATTAAGAACAGTTTTACACAATGTCTGTGTTAAATTTCACATCTGGACAAGTATACAATATGTGACATAATACTATGTATCAAATGTAAAGCATTAAAACGCTGCATAATGTTCATTTATTTGACTGGTTGAATTAACTTCATTTATGCCGAAGGGCCAAATAGAATAGAGATATCCAGTATTCAAAGCAGCAAAGTGAAAAAGGAAGCATGTAAATTCATCCAAAAATAGAAAATATTAGCACATGGTCAAATGTCAAGGGAGCTCAAATTTGCAGAAATTAAAATTACCATAGCTATACTTTAACAAATTTAACAATGAGCCGAATTTAAAACTTATAAATTATGCTTTAAAATACAATAAACAAAAAAATAATAACTGCTTAACACCTCAGCATTTAGCTTCACATTGTCTTGTAAAGGCTTTTTTATACATCAGCTTTAATATTTCTACAACTTCTTTTGATTATTTAATAATAGAAAAACAGGCAAAGCAATGTTGGAGAAATTATACTTGCAGAAATAAGGAGCAATAGAATTGGCAAATATGTCAGAGATAAGCCATCTAAAGT